TATATGTATATGTATATGTATATGTATATGTATATGTATATGTATATATATGGTATTCAGCTTTGTTCGGGTATTTTCCCACGTCATTATAGTTGTGCTTTTAAAGTTGTAGCAATGTTTCGGCAGAATCTCATCTGCCATCATCAGGCTTCTAAAAATAAACATATCAGAAAGAGGAACCTTAAGAATTCACAAGCTTATAAACAATAATCTCTTGACCTGTCACGATTCAATTGCACTTCTATAGTTCTGCATTTATGACCACTTTATAAACCATCAATAAGCTAAAAGAAAAAGAAAACACTGAAAGAGAAATTTAGTCTTACCAGTTCCTTCTTTATAAAAATAATTTTAATTTAATTTAAAAGATTACTTAATGCATGTATTTTGACTAACCTTCTTCCTATGCAAAAATAACATTAACTCAAAATCTGAGAGGTTTTTTTTTTAAGGTGACAGTATAGTATATTACAGTATAGTAATATAAATAGTAATTAGTTTAATGGACAGGAAAAGAAACTTCTAAAAGCTCAGTTTCACATATACAGTAGATATAATATAAGAGTGAGTTATTGAGAAGGTAGAAGGTTGACCTTTAAACTGTGGCTACCTTTCCCTCTTTTTATTTGACAACATTTAATTTACTGAAGATTGAAAACTTACCATCTAATTCCAACTATAGATCCTTGCTTGTTACTCTCTTTACAAGCCAAGATCATATCCAAAAATAAATATTAGTTTGCAATCCTCCCCAGAAACCTGGTTAATTTTTCAAAGAAAAATCAACAGCGAGCCCTTTGGAAAATTATTGCATCAAATATGATTCACGGACATTTATGAGGCTAGATTTTGCAGGATATTGTTGGGCAGTGACAGTTAAAAACTTCTAATCCAAATACCTTCCTGGGGAAAACAAAGCACAAGTATGTCTACAAGGAGTCAAAAAGTTAAAATCCAAAAACAAGTTGCAAGGAAACAAAAATTGTTATCTCAGTAATATGTTTCCTGTTAAAGCATTCTGAAATATCTAGTTAAAATATGATTTCATTTCAAATTTAATATCTAATATTGAGATATACATGTACAGCTGTGAGAATGAACTTAGTTGGATATTGAAGAAAGATACAACAGACATTTTATCTGTGAATTTAAACTAGGAGAACATGCAGCAATGGCATAACTAAACCGCAAAAATTTGTAAGAGTAGTTTAACCAAATTCAGGCAATAATGGATTTCATACATTATGCAGCAAATACAAACACATACAATAAGCTTTCTAAAGGAGTCTAAATGTTTTTGTAAATACTGAATGTTGCTTGTAGTAAAAAGAAGGGGAAATCAACAAATGAAAAATTATCTACTTTTCCATATTGGCATAAAAATATAGATTCTTACTAACAGATAACATAATCAAAGTTGGAAGGGACCTTCTAGGTCATCTAGTCCAACCCCCCCGCCCAAGTGGGAGACCCTACACCATTTCTGACAAATGGCAGTCCAATCTCTTCTTGAAAGTTTCAAGTGATGATGCTCCCACAACTTCTGAGGGCAAGCTCTTCCATTGGTAGATTGTTCTCACTGTCAGAAAGTTTCTCCTTGTTTCCAGGTTAAATCTCTCCTTGTTCAGTTTCCATCCATTATTCCTTGTCTGGCCTACAGGTGCTTTAGAAAATAGCTTGACTCCTTCCTCTCTGTGGCAGCCCCTCAAATATTGGAAGTCTGCTATCATGTCTCCCCTGGTCCTTCTCTTCACTAGACTAGCCAAGCCCAGTTCCTGTAACCGTTCTTCATATGACTTAGTCTCCAGTCCCTTAATCATCCTGGTTGCTCTTCTCTGTACTTTTCTAGAGTCCCAACATCTTTTTTATAATGTGGTGGCCAAACTCTAGGTGTGGTCTTACTAAGGCTTTATAGAGTGATATTAGTACCTCACTTGATCTTGATTGTATCCCTCTGTTAATGCAATTTAGGATTGCATTAACAGAGGGATATGTTATACAGACACACACACACACACACACACACACATATATACACACACACACATACTATATGTTATACACACACACACACACAAACACACAGTGAAAACTTTAGTATTAAGTATTAAACTCTCAGTTATAAATCTTTTTTTAATATTTTAAATTGTTTCATTCATTTTGCAGTTGTACATCAACACTCAGCTTAGGTGTATTATTTGAGCATCCTTATTAACATTTTAGAACCCATATTAATGCTGACATAAATGTTTTTTGCCTTAAGGTTTAACTTATCTAAATTCATCATAGTTGAAACATTTAAATGTATAAACAGTTTATATTGGATAAATACCACTGTTCCCTGCTAATATTTGTATTATGTAATGTATTAGCGGCATCTTATAGCAATTACTCATGGGAAAAAGGACTCTGCCTGTTAGTTCCTTCACAACTCCTTTTGGTCCTACCCTATTATATCATAGTTATATCCTAATAGACACACTGAACTCATTAGGCATGTAATATATTATATACAATGAAATACCCGACTGTTATATATAAGCATAAGTTCCACCACATTGCTTTTGATGTATATATGTGCCTGTTTACTCTCTTGTAATCCCTTCCTCTTCAATTTGTTCTCTCTGCAAGAATGAAAAAAGGGGGAAAAAAGTCTAATAAAGGACAATGTGTACTGACTTACGGGAATCATATGATTGAAGTAGGCTGCAAGGATCATGAATGTGGGCATTGGTGGTAAAGTTATTTTTCAGCAACATCATAACTCGGAATGGTCATTGAATAAGGCAGTTGCTAAGCAAAGAGTACCTATATTTTAATTTGCATTAGTCTTCAAAGAAAGACTATAACCTCTTCTCTTGTGAAATCAATTCTTGCCTCTAATGCTATCAATACATTATTTTGTACTCCAACATAAATACCACTAAAAGTTCTTTGATTACATGGAACTTGTGTTTATTGTATTTAAAAACAATGGAATAAATCCAGCTGAGGTTGAGCACAATGAACTTTCTCCCATTTAAAACAATACTGAATATAGTATGTTAAACCAAATTTAACATACTACATCCAGTTTAATATAATGATTGTTTTATTAATAGTTCTTTGTTTCTTTTCTCATCTCAGCATTCTGAGCAAACTAAGTCAGGAAATAAACCGACATGAAGAAAAAAGAAGCATCTTTCCAAAAAGGTAGGAAGAGTTTAGTGTATTTCTGTTGTAGCCATAGTAAATAAAAACTTTCCAGTTACTTGCTGCCATTAGAGGGCAGAAGAGGATGCAAATCCAGCTGTTAGGATGAATGGAACTGCTTTCAGCTGTGTCCGCTTGATACAGTATTAATTGCCAAACCACATCCAAGAAAGCCCAAAACCAGCATGGATCAAGAGATTTAATTTTTAAACTCAATATGAGTGGCATTAACATATTGCAACAGAACTCATTTTATTAAACACCAGCAGGAATTATTATGTTAATGTGTGTGTGACTTGACACTTACATTATCTTGAATAGATGCTGGATTTAGTCACCCACTTCAGTTGTACAACTATTGCTTATAGAGAGAAATTACCAGGAGTTTCATTCTTGGTTAGCATCCTGAATAAGTTAATCTGAAAGTCTCTCTGAAAGGCTTTAATATTTTCAGATTCACTGACAGATTCATCAGCAGATTCAAAAACCAGCTCCAAAAAACAGAAACGTGATACCTTCTTCATCCTCATTAGGGAGAACCTTGCTTTCCAATCTAATTTCTACCATTTTGGCCTGGTGCCTAGCTGGAATCTTGCCATCAAAAGCTGGAGGTGTGGGGGTGGACAAATGGGCAATAAACATGTATTGGGGAATGGTGAGGAGTAGGGAGGGGGAACTGACATAGTGAGGAAGATCAGAGATGCACAAAACCAGTTTGTGCCAATCTTCAAGGCCACAATGCCTGAGCGGCCTGGGAATGGAATGTGAATTGCTCCTAACATCCAAGTGATTCTCACAACACCGATTAAGCTCTTCATTGGCCAAACTGGTAAAGGGGAAGGGCTGGATTGAGGGGGGGAAATACAAAATCTTTTGCATGGGAGCCTTAGTTCTAGCTAAACTTTACTGCAGTCAGCAACTTTCAGTAAAATTGAAGTCAGCAACTTTAACTGAAGTCAGCAACTTTACTGCAGTCAGTAACTTTCACTTCAACCAAGTAGATTTGAGGGTCTTTCTTTCTTAAGGAATCTGACCCGGGCAGGTCTCACACTATGTAGTTGTAATTGAGAAGGCTTACTTATGAACTATTTTAATCTGTGAATTTATTTTACCACAAGGGCTTAGATTCTTTTTCCTACTGAGGCAGGAAGTAGGCATTCAAAGTCAGTGACATGTGCTTCTTAGCAAAATGTAATGCAACACTCAGAATGCTTCTGAGTATTTTTGGTCTCTGCAAACAGCACCCAAGGAGTGAAATGAAGTGTTAGGGAGTTTCTCAATCTAGTAGTGTTATGTCATATATTTTATTGCTAATTAGTAGATCTTCTTTCAAGGGCAAAGAACTTAAGGCAGAAATAATATGGCCCTCCATTTTCAGCAACTCCATTCTGACTCTAGTGTTGAGAAGAAGTGTCATTAATTTCAGTGCCTCAGGCTTTTAGTCTCATTAACTTCACAGCTGACTCCAACGGTTTGTACTAAGAAGGGAGCAAAAAAAACTTTTAAAAAAGCTCAGCTTGTGACAGTGTTTTCTTAAAAGCATCTGAATACTTAGTCTGAGAAGAGACAGAAACTGCAGAAATATTTGAACAATATATCTGCACATAGCAAAACTTGTACAGCTGACTGGATGTGAGAAGATGTATCTGCAAAGGCACACACTATCTAGGATTGTTTAGAATGGGTTGTGCTGGCAAAAGCTGGAAAAAGTACCATTTTTGATGTAAGGAAAGAGAGATGGAACTGCCCTTTGGCCAGGGCTGGACTGGAGACAATGTCACATATTCATGTCCTCCACAAATGGTAAGCAATCAGGACATTTGAATTTACCTGTCAGGCACAAGCAAACAGAACTGCTCATGAATTGTCTCAAGCAGAAACTTTATTGTTAGGCAATAACCATATTGTCATCAGATTGAGCGCATTCCCTTGGGAATGTCCAGACAAGGCTTCAGGAATGCCTACACCCTGCAGTTTAGCTGGAGATTCTACCACACATAACCCAAGTTTCTTATCATTGTCATCACCTAAAACACTAATTTGCTTATTTCCTCTTTTATTTTTACAGAACACAGAAATCTCCTGAACATACAGGTAAAAATATTTGTTTGCCTATTCACTGTGCACCAATATTCAGACTTCATGCTGGTAACCATTTTTTAAAAAATATTCCTACTCAATGGTGTGGCTTTGGGCTATGTTCGTTACACTTCAATGTTACAGAAATCAATGCGAAATGTTAAAAATGATGTTTAATTTAAATTATTTCTAAGAGAAATAAATGAAATCAATTTACCTTGGAGCCAACAGTTTGATATAGTGTATAACAATGGCTTTTAAAACAATTAAAATTGAAGAGCGGAAGCATTAAATAAAATTTAGCACAAGTGTAGAAACATTTTTCCTACTTCTCGTTTGATGCCATACTAACAGAAAGAACTGGATTCCTGTTTTGTAATTGTAAACCCATTCATAGTTTGGGCTTCCACCAAAGCCACACAAATTGAACAGATAAATAAAGCAGGACTGTTTACAAAACTTGCCTCTTGCTCATGGTTCAGACTCTCTTGTATTCATTTATATTGGCAGGCCCAGGATTGAAGGCTTTCATTCAAAAAAGATGAAAACAGCATTGCATCATTGCAATGCAAACTCTACTCCTTTCATACTTGAATGTGATGCCACAGTACACATTCAGAAGGGGTGGAAGTCACAACATAGTGCTGCATTTGTTATTTGATCTTTTGAAACTATAGTTACCCAGAATCAAAACAAAACTATCTAAGAGGCTTAGTATCATATATTGTTTCGATACTAATTAATCATAGGCTCTGTTTTCACTTAGTGTCAACTTTCTCCCTTAATCACATGATTCTGCTCTAAAATTCCTCCCTCTAAACCAGTGAGACAATTTTAAGTCATGTTTAGCTATATCAGTAAGAACATAAAATTAGAATATAATTCAACAATAGCATCAAGCTGTTTAAAATCTGTTATGCTTTGCAAATTAGATGTACAATAGGTAATATGATAAGAAGTTAGTCTCTGAACTGGGGAGAAATATTACATATTCCCTTCCTGTTAAGTAGCTTTAAGCCTTTCTCTCAGTGTTTACCCTTTTCATTAGTATTTTGTTCAACAAGTTCCTCTGAACTCATCACCTTTCTATTTATGCCGACAACTGCTCTCCAGGATTCCAGCTAGATATATGAGAACAGAACAGACATCCATTATTTTATTTAAAGAGAGAGGGGAATCTCTTTAGCCCTTCTCTACTTTAATAATATTCTGAAATGTATGTTAATTGAAGATGCAATAGTTCTATTTTTCCTCATTGTGTGTCCAGAAAATGATGAAGGACAGTAAACTGGATTTTCATGACTTATTTGTCATTTCCCCTATATCAATCCATTTCAATTGTTTTCCCCAGTCCTGGGACAGTAATGGAAATAGTTGCCTAATTAATTTTAGTTCTCCTTAAAAGTTACACACTGAGCAGGATTTGTCTTTTTCCTATCTGGGTCTTTCTGGGGATTTCCTGTGTGTTTCACATATCTCAAACATCTTCAAACATCTCAAGATGTAGAAAAGCCAAGCATAATCCTGATGAGAGACTAACCATATTCCTGCCTCAGTGATTATCATGATTCATGATTATCTTCCTGACTGGCTGATACCATGCTGAAAGGAAGAGCAGTAAAACAGAAGAGAAAAAAATAACCATGCCTGTACCGTACAGTCATAAGACGTTCATAAGTCAAGACAATACTATTCAGTGGTGATGCAGAACAGACATAACAGAGGCAGGATATGGATTTTCACTGGAAATTTGGAGGGTAAAAAATAGGAATTTTTTTGCCTGTATTTTCTCTGCCAAAATAAAAAAGTGGATGTATAATATTTTAAAGAATATTTGAGGATTAACTAAAACATTCTAACAAGATGGGAGGCAAGAACATCAGGAGATCGAAGTACAGCTTACAAACAAAGCAAGACATTTTCCTGCCTGAGGTAAAAGACAAGATGGCACTCTCTGTGTCCCATGTACAGACAATAAACAAATAAGCATTTCAATCTTTGTTTTTGTCTCCCACTCACACCCAACGAGAACAGACTAATGATGGGGTGCAGGCTATATAGCCTGATACATACAATTGTGTTCTCCACTTCATTAACACTAACCCATTCACTCAAGTGACACTTCCTTCTGGAACTTTGTTCCTGGCAATGCAATTGAGTTGGAGATAGTATGGTCTGTTTTTGTTTTTTAATGCAAGATAGGGAGTTCTTCTGAAGCCATGCTCTTAATTTATATGTTTTCTCAAGAGATGTAGTAAGAGTGCCATGATCATAATTAAGTAGGAAACACATAAAAATAATACTCATTTTTGAACTGACAAATCATAGATAATTGTGCTAACAGAGTTAAGTCAAAACAGGAACTACTGTCTCAAAAGATTTTTGCCATCCTAGAAAATAAATACTTCTTATTTACTTCCTGCTGTGTGAATTGTGAAATTCTTCTTTTTAATTAACTGAGGCTATATTATTTCATTATTTCTTAGGATCCTCTTTTTGGTCTTATTTCTGCTTCAGTTGATTCGGATATACATTTTCATCACACAATGTCCACAATACAGTATAAGCAGGATCTCAGCTAGTGACTTAAAACATCTTTAGTATTATCTAATCATGATTGTGCTGATGTAACAGAGAAACCTTAACATTGACTTAAGAATGACAAGGTGAAACCAAAAGATGCTGTAAGTCATTGATGGGAAAAATGGCCATAGCCTGGTACATGAAATGTCAAAACAGGTCTCTTGAAAATTCACATTCTATCATTTTCAGTAGAGTACATTCAAATATTCAACTGAGACAAATAACATTATGGATGGATTATCATGACTTATCAGATAATATATACCTGAGCTTTATTAGTTCTGGTTTCTCTACCAAGCTCTGCTAACTATGCATTAACAGTTAACTAGAACCATTCCAAACTTTGATATTTATATTCTTCTGTGTATTAAGAAATATTTTATTTTTACTGTTTTTCCACAGAATATAAACCAGAGGAGGGTGATGGCTGGTCCTCCTTCGTAAGTATATTTTGGGATTTGAGGCAAGAGTTATATTTGTTTTAAAGAACCCCTAGCCAAAAAATAAAGTTGGTTAACTTAAAATGTATATTAATTTAATTTAATTTAATTTAATTTACAAATTAATTTAGGATGATTACTCTGCATAAATAGAAAAATTTACCCATTTCTGTAGCTCTGAAAATGATGATGGTTTCTCAGTGGTAAATATTGATGAAGCTCTAGATAGACATAGATTGTGCACTTAAATCTTGGTTTTAAATAACCACAATAGATATATTTGAAAGAAATTGAATTATAGCAAACATGATAAGACTGCCACTACACTTTTACTTTGCTAACAGTTTGAGGTTGAAGCTACTATTAAAATGTCACAATGTGTATATTGTGATATTGTTTTTAATCTTCGTAAGCCATTCTGAGTTCTGCATGAAAGCCATAGAGTTATCCATCATAATGGTCATATAAATTAAAATTATAAATCCTGTTTTTTGAAGAACATTATTTTGTTTTAAAAAGCCCAAAAAGCTAAATGAAGGATGCCTTTCAAATCAGTCATTGGGGAGACAGAAGTATATAAATATCATATTTTTTTAAAAAAAATATGTAGTGCCACAGCAGCTAGTATAATTTTGAAAATTAAGGACTACATTGCTAGCTTTTCTTATCAGAGTAATCACTATAAATAAAATCATTAGCTTCTGGAGTATGTGCACATGTTTGTTATTAAATGTTACTCTTGGTTGTGGCTTGTGATAGAATTCATTCTGTACCCTGAAAGGTAATCTTAAAATGATAGATTGTTTTGGCAAAAGGACACATCTGTTCTGACAGGACGAAAGTGATGATTATGAAAGCCCAGATGAAGATCAGACTGGAGATGGTGTTGATTATGAAACACCCAATGATCAAGATGGGTTTGAGGATGAAAATGATGCAGATTATGAACCTCCTCCATCAAACAATGAGGACATTCTCCGCAATGCTATATTTCCTCACAAACCAATTCCAGCCATTTCAGACTACATAGGTAAATATTTTTAATCTGATTTGAAGCAGCTCATTATTCAAATAATTGCGAGGGGAGATGTAGAGTGTCTCAGAAGAGATTTGGAGAATTTTTCCCATTGAATAATAATAGCAACAATTTTCTGATTCCTTAAAATAATTCTTTCAAATTTATTCTTTAAAATCTTTACATGCTCTGTCAAGCTGCATTATGGAATTTATTGATGGTTTCTGAAAAGCCACCCTAAATATATATATATATATAAAAAAATAATAATATTGGATGATTTTTTTTATATTTTTCCTCTATGGAGGCCACTAAGAACCATGTTTATTGTGGCAATGTAGAAATATGTTTTAAAAAAGAAAACCTAGCTCACACAACAAAAAGAGCTAAATATATTCTGTAAATGTTCTTGCCTTTGTTAGACAGACCTGCAACAGAGAGGGGTAAAACATCTCTCCAGCCTCCTGTTCCCCCACAGAGGCCTGCCCACAGCCCCATTCCAGGAGGATCTCGAAGCAGAGTCCATGGGGTATGTTTCTTTGAAGTTCAAATAGCTTATTTTCATATTTATTTGAAGGATGAAAGCTTCCTACTTCAGTGGCACGAGGAAATGCTGTATAGCAATATATGCATGTCTGTATAATCTTCCTCACAACATTCAATCAAAGTGTCTTGAATTGTTTGCTTTGAGTATGCTTTAGATACTCTGCATCTCAGAGTTGAAGCATTCTCCGCTAAAAGTATTCTAAAGTATAAATAAACCCAATTTTGGTTAATCTTGAAAAACAAAACAATAAAAGGCTAATATTTGGATGAGAAACTAGCTAGGCCATAGCATAGGTGGGGATGTAAAAAAGTGTGGAAGAAGCCAAAGCAGCAGTGGGATCCTACCTGTTCCACTACTGGTTCAATGATTATGCATGTGTGCACGCACATCTAACACATGCACATCTAATGCACGCGCACAGCTTTCCCCACAGCAGTTGAGGCCTGCAGCACCAATCAGCTGAGAGGATAAAGAAGAGAAAAGCGCAGGGAGGGATGGGAGGGACGATCCTACACTTTTCTCTTCTTTTTCCTCTCAGATGATTGTAGGCTGATTTTTACTACTGGTTTGGCCAAACTGGTCGCACACCACCACTGCGCCAAAGGCAAATATTTTATATGTTATTGTCAAAATCCCTAAGTAAGCATATACAGGAAGTCCACAGGACTCAATTTTAACTTAAATAAGAATTTTTCTTTATAGTTTAACCTACTTCAGTATGCATCTAGACATACAAGATAATTGTAGAAGGTAGAAGATAAGTGTATATTACTTGCTCATTCTGATACTTTGTTGGCATCTCTGGAGGGCACTTAAAATTATTTCAGCAAATTAAAATCAAGTTAGGTACCATATTGTTGAATGCGCTCATATTCATTTATTTGTTTATGTTAATCTGTTTTGGCAGACACCTTTCAGTTCTCCTTCAAGCAATAATGACAGTTACAGAGACAAAAGTACAAATCTCTTTAAACGTGAGTGTGCTTTCTTTCTTGCATTTCAACTATTAAAACATAAAATATTTCTCCTGCCTTCCCAGTATTTCCACAATTCTAATTTGAATTTGATTTTTTTAAAATGATAGCATGTTGAATTTTTAAATTAATTTTATTTTGTAAAGAGTTTTTGTTTTATTTATTTGATTTATGAAGAAATAAGAGGACACCCATAGCACCCAGAATTGTGCTATTCCACCCAGACAGCTAAAGCTATTCTTTAAGTTTAACCAATTTTTCAAAGGAAGTTGTTATTAGAATTCTAAAAATAAGTAAGATGACTTTCAGTTGTGGAAATAGTGCACAGAAATACTAGTACACTAACTGATCCAATGTGCTTTTTTGTGTTTCATTCCAGCACCAGTCGATCGAAGCAAAAAACCACCAATGGATCGACCTGGGCCAACCTTTGAGAGAGAAAGTCTTGGAGCTGGTAAGCATGTATTCTGGGGGTGAATTCTACCCAGTTGGACCAGTTCTATAGAACCAGTTGTTATGATTCTGTGCAGTTCAGAGAACCGGCAAACTGACTGGCCTTGCCCCTTCCCTCCCTGCCCACTCATTCCTTACCTGACAAACTTGCCTGCTAAGTTGCTATTTTACCTCCCCCCCCCCAACCATCAGCTGTTCTGCTGTGCCGGGAGATTTAGATTAGCTAGAAAGCAGGAAATCATTGGATTTCTTGCTTTCTAGCTAATCTAAAAGTAGAGCTGAACTTTCCTTAGGACTAAAGATTGTATTTTTCAGTGCAGACTCAAGTAGCAGAATGCAGAAAGATAGATCTCTGAATGAATCTGTTGTTCTGTGAGCAATTCAATCTGTCTGCTCTGCTTTGCCTGATTTGGGGTAAAAGTTGGTCTTTTTAAATAAAAAATTTAATATTTATATAAATATTTATAATATTTACATACAAGCCATGCCCAGCCAGTCACATGACCACCAAGCCACACCCACAAATTAGGCCAGGCCTACAGAACCAGTTGTTAAGAAATTTGAATCCCACCCCTGATGTATTCATAACCATCATTTTTTAATTCTGGCCTTTGTTCAGGGTCAGATTTGTTAATTGCCTGAAAAAGAGAGGGCGCTGGATAAATATATGGTGCAGATGATTAGACAATAGAATAGGAGTGAGATGAAACGTATAGCTTCAGAAGAGCACAGTGGACATTGAACACAATGGCAATAGCAAGAGATTTGTTTCAACTGAGGTATAATTCTGATGAGTCTACAGGAAGATTGTTAGAAATATCAGAGATTTTTATAGTGCATGATTCAAACCAGATAAAAATTGGATCAAGGTCAGAAAACAAATTTAGGGCGGGTGTATAAAGCTGAAGATAAAAAGTGTTATGTCTTTGCAAGAACATTTTAATGAGACTCTGTAATTTTGTTATCAACACGGAAGAGTTTAATTGATTGATCTATCAAATGAAAGAACAAGAAACACCACCATGCTTAAGGCATATTTAATGGACTTTAACAGCAAAGTAGTTTCTTAAAGGGCACTATGATTTCTTTGGCATTCCAGAAAGAGAATATTTCAATCTGCAATCTCAATTTTCTTTACATTTAGAAATGAAGTCAAGTTACTGCAAATTTGCAACTATGACTTGTGTTAAGATAATGTATTTGTCTCAGACTGGGCAAATTGCAGATTTATTTATGCCTACATTGTTATCACTGTAATTATGATGGGAAACATTTCTACAGAGTTATTGTGCAGGGTGACAGCCCGTTCACAAAGAAATGAAGTGTGAACAGGGCTGTCAAGGGTTGCAGAAACAACAAACTACACTGATGGTTTCATTCTCAATGCTGGACCCCTGTGTTATCTTGATTTCATGTCCTAAGCACAGGAGACAAGGCACTCCACCATTCAAATGTTGCTTACCACAAGAAATTCCTTTAAGATTTTCTTTTTTTAAGGCTAGTTAGGGATGCAACATGCAAGGTGTCCACAGAGCAAGATAGGAGTGCTCTACAGCTAAGTAAAACATGAGTGCAGGTAGTCCTCGACTTATAACAGTTCATTTAGTGACTATTCAAAGTTACAGCATTGAAAAAAGTTTCATTCGTATTTATGACCATTGTAGAATCCCCATGGTTACGTGATCAAAATTTGGATGTTTGGGAATTGACTCATACTTATGATGGTTGCAGTGTTCCCGGGGATTGTGTGATCTCCTTTTGCGACCTTTCGATAAGCAAAGTCAATGGGGAAACTGAATTCCCTTAATGACTATGTTCCTAATTTAACAATGGCAGTGGCAAATGTGGCAAAAAAGTCATAAAATGGGGCAAAACTCACTTAACAAATTTCTCACTTACCATCATAAATTTTGAGATCAATTGTGGTCATAAGTTGAGAACTATCTGTATTTTAACACGTTCTATAAGACAGGGGTCCCCAACCACCGGGCCGCGGACCGGTACCGGTCCGTGGAACATTTCCTACCGGGCCGCCAGTTTGCTGGGCGCCGCCATCTTGTTTGACGAGAAAGTGCTTCCGGGTGAGCTTTTCCTGGTTGGAAAGCGGCGTTTGGGTCCTGAAGGAATCCTCGCGCCTTAGTTTCATCGAGGGGGGGCTTTGAACGAAACTAAGGCGCGAGGATTCTTTCAGCACCCAAGGCAAGGCGAGCCAAGCGACCGTCCCGAAGCCGTCCCGAAGCGAAGCCCATCGACAAAGGTACAAAGGAGGAGTTGAAGGTGGCGGGGAGAAGCGGGGGACGGCTGGCTGGCTGGTCGCTTGGCTCGCCTTGCCTTGTCATGCGTGCTGATGCCGGTACCAGGCCGCGGATCATTTTGTGATGCCGGTACCGGGCCGTGGCACAAAAAAGGTTGGGGGCCACTGCTATAAGAGATAAAGGCATTAGATTTTTGTTTTCTTCACAATGACATGGTAATATCCTTCAGCTTTCTTTTAAAGTTAATGTAACCTTAGCAGCACTGTCTAGTTGTCTGAGTCCAGTGATGAGTAACTAACTGTTCTTCCCTCTTTTCATTCATTTTTTTCTTAATTCAGGCAAACGAGCTTTTCCTGAAATGGTAAGAGATGGCTTCATTCTAGTAAATTCCTACAATATTTTAGCTTGTTTTTTCAGGTTTTTTTAAATGTACTCTTGCTTTTCTTTCTTTCCAGGCTCTGACACCAAAGCTCAGGTAACTGTTTAATTTTCTGTAAAGTAAACTATCAGAATTAGCCAAAGAAACACAGTATGAAGAAATTCACTTCCAAATCCTCTCTCTTTCTCTTTTAGATCTCTGGCAGAAGACTTGGCAAAGATACAGAAGCCTCCTCTGCCACCCACTGACAGATTCGAAAAAAATAGTCCTTCCTCTAGAAGAATGCCGCCACTCACAAAGTAACTATATCTGTAAAACATAAATAATTCAGCATTAGTCTAGAGAAGTGCTTTGTCCTGATGGGCTATATCTCTGAAAAACAATTCTATGGACTTGTTGTTAGCAAAGTATCTTCTAATGTTCTTTTGAACATGCTCTGAATGCCACATTTTGATTTTTAAGCTCTTACATAAATAGCAGAATGTCACATGACTGAAATGCAAATAGGTACTGTCAGTAGTTCACTTTGAAAGATGGGAATATAAATGATATAAATGATTCACATAGAACAGTCCTTCCTGGACTGTTTCCTTCAACTATCAGCACTGCCTCCTAATACTAGTAGTCCTTGTTTAGTGTCTACAATTGAGACCAGCAACTCTGTCATTAAGCAAAGCGATTGCTAAATGAAACCATAACTATGCTTATGATGTTTACCTCTACTAAGGTAAATGCAAGGATTGGTCACAAAATTATTTTTCCATTACCAAAGTAACTGTGAATGGTCACTATATGAGACAGTGGCTAATTAAAACTACCTGTTTTGGCTTCTAACTTCCTTATTTCCCCTTTAGGTTATAAGCACTATTACAACTAAAACAACTTCAGGAAAATAACTTATGATTTATTATTAGTGTTAAATTTATATGTCATCCATCACACAGTTTGAGGCAGCTCTGTCAGAGTTTGCAGCAATCCAACCAGCACACAAGTAATAATTCAGCAGGGTTCATTTATAGAAGAAACTTGTTTATATATGATAATATAAAACATGATGCATATATACAATATCCATGCAGCTCTTTCAATGTGGTAGCAAGTACAAGGACAAGAAGCAGAAGCAATCAGAACCACATGAACTGAAGCACAGAAACGCAGACACTATATATATTAAAGAGGCAATATCGCAAGGACAAAGCAACTCTTATATACAACTCAGTCAAGCTAAGCCATGCCCAGGCTCTGAACTGTCTGTGTCATCAAACAGTCCCCATTGGCTGACCTGTTACCATGTCTATTCCAATTCATGAACTCTTATACACTGACAAACTCTGAGTTTAGAGAGGAACAGACAGAGACAGGGCAAAGGTTCTATGGCTAGTATTTGCAAACAGTGCTTCCCTTTAAATCTCGAGCATGGGTGACAAACTCGTGACATCACATTGCCATCACATGACGTTTTGTGACATGTTTTCCCTTCCTGGAGCTAGGGTGAATGTGGCCTGCATGTGACATATCCAGGCTGCAGGATACCAGTTTGACACCCCTGTCCTTGAGTGTTTAGATTTATCTGCAATGCACAGGTAGTTCTTGACGAGACTACCAGAATTGAGAATATATGACCAGAATTGAGCCCCAAATTTCTGTTGCTAAGTAAGACATTTGTTGAGTTTTGCTCCATTTTACAGCTTTTGACATGGTTGTTACTGCAGTTGTTAAATTAGTAATACAATTTCTAAGTGAATCTAGGTTCCCCATTGACTTTGCTTGTCAGAAGGTCCTAAAAGGTGATCACAGGACCCCAGGACACTGCAAATGTCATAAATATGAATCAATTGCCAAGAATCTGAATTCTGATCATGTGAGCATGGAGATGCTGTAACGGTCGTAAGTGAGAAAAATGGTCATACATCACTTTATTCAGTGCTGTTGTAACTTTGAATGGTCACTAAACAAACTGTTGTAAGTCGAGGACAAGCTACTTTATACACACTAATGTATTGGCAAAAATGGAGTCTGCATGACATATTAAAGCATGGTTTCTTTCACCATACTCTATTTAATTTACCATCACTAAGTTATAAAGCATCATTTGCAAACCACAGTGTCGATATTAAACCATACTGCATATTAAAGCATAATTGCTTTGGTTGATTTTGGTATAATACGTTGCATAATCAAAGGTACTAAGTGAAGATTTCATACTTCACTTAAAAGTACTTCATACTTTTCTTGTTTAGGTTCCTAAGGGAAGAGCAACTACGGCACTCTTTTGCCCAAAATGACTTTTCCTTGTTTAGAACAGCAAATTACTTGGAATCAAAATTCCATTTTAATTACTGATCATGCAAACCCATTACTTGGTATTTCTTTTTTATTTGATTTTTTTTAAAAAAAACAGATCAACAGTTTTTTTATTAAATAATACTTGCAGAAAATATTAGTAATTTTACTTGTTTTCTAGGAGCAATCAGATGCTTGAAAGACAGACAGAAGTAAGTATATCTATATGAAAATGTCATTTGTAGCATTTTCTCCATTTAACAACGTTTTTTTACATTTTCTAATTTGAGTCTCACTAATCCTTGAACTAGTTTATTGCTGCCTTAATATACTACAATATTGTTAATGTAATGGATAAATTAGTAGCAGTACATTTAACAATCTGTTTTTTTTAACAATATGTTTAATACATGCTTCCTACCCAAATAGTGGAAGATTTAAAAACAGAACCTCCCAAAACTATGCTGCCAAATATAGCGTACAGTAGAGAGAAGAAGGTGTCCATCTTGAAGATGATAGAAATAGTTTGGCTAAGCTGGTATAAACATTAGGGTCATTCCACATGCAAGGGCTAGTCTGATCTGAGATCAACACCAACAATGGGGAAAATGCCTATATAATTGCAAACTAAGGCAATTACTGAGTAGACCAGATCAGGAAACAAATTCTCCAGGAAGGCTAGAGTGATACTTTAACAGTTTGCAAGTCTGATTGTGCTTCTCCTTTCCTCCTTCATCTATTTCAGTCAGAGGGGAATTTTCCTGAGATTCCTCTTAATACAGGTAGTCCTCAATTTATGACCACAATAAAGCCCAAAATTTCTGTTGTTAAGTGAAACATTTGTTAAGTGAATTTTGCCCCACTTCACAACATTTCTTGCCACAGTTATTAAGTGAATCACCATAGTTGATAAGTTAGTAACCTGGTTGTTAAGTGAATCTGACTTCCCCATTGACTTGGCTTGTCAGAAGGTTGCAAAAGGTGACACATGTCCCCTGGGATGCTGCAACGGTCATAAGTATGAACCAGTTGCCAAGTATCTGAATTCTGAACACATAACCATGGGGATGCTGCAAAGTTGCAACTTTGAAAACGTTCATAAATCATAAATCGTTTTTTCGTGTTGTTGTAACTTTGAATGGACACTAAATGAACTGTTGTAAGTCGAGAACTATCTGTACTATCTCTCATCCCAGGATTTAAGGAACACTTCCACCTTTTATGTTTAATCAATAGCTTCTCAATAGTGTATTTGTATCAAGGCCCTCTCCCTGGATCTCTACAAAAGGGAAGTTCTATAAAGACAGCTTTGTGGTGTTTGTCTGAGAGCTTGAAGACAGATGGGTTCCAATTGGCAGGGGTTCCTATCTTCCTGCTATTCACGATTGCCCTTCTACACTGCAGTCAAGGCTCTATAGCACCTTGGTGATTTTCTTCCAGTTCCTGAAAGTTCCTCTAGGTGACTGCTGCTATCTTGCATAGGAGACACCTGTATTATTTTCTCCCCCACCACTATAAGCGAAGAATAAGAATGGGAGCAGATGGCTGTCTGGCTGCCATTTTTCATGCTTCCACCCGGGCTAGTTGGAAGGAATGATGATAGTTAAATAGAGGCCAGTGAAATGGGCAACAAAGTAGTGTAGAAATGCTTCAGAACATATTGGTGCAAAGCTGGTGTCTCTGTGGAAGTATCTTCCCTTATATTGCCACAGAAATAGTATCTAGGCAGAATAACTTTGGGTCACTGTGTTTGTTCATTCTCCAGTTTCCTTTTGAAAACAATGATGCCCCAATCAATTTGATGCCAAAAGGTTTTGAAAAAGAAGTTTGATCTTAAATATCCATTCTTTCTTAGTCCCTAAATAAAACATTTCAAAAATCACCTTTAGCAAAACAAAGCTAGACCTAAAACTAAACTCTGTATGTAGTTTTAATTACAAAAGTGATGCCTTATTAAAATGTTGTCTCAATTCTGGAAAATTGGTTATTATGACAATTATTGAAAGAGGGAGGGAGGGAGGACGGAAGGAAAGAAGAAAGGAAGGAGGAAGAAACATAGGGTACTATTTTAAAATATTTCTTTCCCCTTCTAAGATAATTCCTAGTACGTCACTCATATGTATGCATGCATGAATGGATGGATATGCACATACATATGCGTATGATACATTATTTTGATTTCTGTAAATTTTGTACAGATTATGTTGATATTCTGAATAAACCAATTCAGTTAATCAATAAAGAACTGGCAATACTAATATTGATTTATTTATATTTCTTTCAGATGGAATCTGACAGTACGTAACGTTTTATGTTTACTTTATTTTTATCATCCCCAGTGTATCTATTTTCTGTTTAAAATAAAAGCAGTAAAGAATGACACCAAACATTTTTTCAAGGAAAAAAAAGAGTTCTAGAGAAGGGTTTCAAAAAAAAAATTCCATGGAAAATAATAAGCAATTTGCACTGAATCGCTTTCAAGATTATGCTACAACATTGCTAGCTATAGTATATGCTAAGAATGCTATCAAACTACATTTTCTATAAAATTATGAGAAAATTTGGAGCCAATGCTGGCCATACAATATGGACCCAACTTATTAGAAGTCTTAGTAGATGTTCATATGGAAAGCATGAATAGGATTTACTGTCTTTGCATAATTATTTTGCTACAGCATATAATATAGCTCATATGAATTAATAAGAATGTAAAAAGAGTCCAAACCCAGCTTAGTTCAGCATTTTGTTTTTCACAATAGTAAACTTGAGACCTTTAGGGTGCTCAATATCAGGAGATGGATATATTCCACAATTTTACCATTGCTCCCCTGCAAATTCTATTTGGAAGCAGGCTGTCCCTAAGTGAGAGATAATCTTGAATCTTCCAAGATCAACAGCTCCTAATCAGCCTGTCATCCAACCATTTTTCCAATTTCTTTTAACACCATTCAAGAAAGGTGATTATTATATTTGTAGTTATTCATTCCACAAGTTAATTGTGCATGATGTGAAGAACTTAATTTTGTGTGTTTTAAATCTTGTCCAATAAAGCTCTATTGTATGGATTTTGGACAAATGTTTTGAGGTAATGACAAAACCTCCCTATTCATGTTTTCCGTACTATGTTTGACTTTATATCCCTAACTCATGTCTTCTCTCGGCTGCCTATTTTCCAAGCTAAAAAGTTGCACATGTTGTAGCCTTTTCTTTCAAAGGAGGTCTTTGAGCCTTCAGATAATTTTGGTTGCCCTTCTCAGTAGCCAAAGATGACTACCAGACTATCAGGCCCATCAGCAGTATTCTAAGTGAATATGTACTATAGATTTGATAAGAGTGTTACTGTGTTAGCATTTTTATTTTCAATCCCCTTAGCATGACATTGGCTTTTTTCACAGCCAGTCATATTTTTTGTTAATTGTTTGTTTTTGCTCTTGTCTGTAGATATTCTCCAAAGGCCAGTTCCACTGCCATCACCCCAGCCCTTCAACACCTTTCCTTCCAGAACCACTAAGTCTAATATAATTCCTTTACCACCCAAAATGAAGCCTGATCTACACACAGAAAGGTTGGTTGAATGAACCGTCAACCCAAAGTACACAATTAACTTATGCTGCAATTATTATTCATCATTTAATTATATAAATAATATTATCCATTTTAATAGTTAAGTAGTCTGAAAGAAGAAACTTTCATAATAATATATTTAAGATTTTTAATCTAAAGATGTTCCACTGCAATGGAAATCCCATAGGCCAATAGCTAAGGCTATAATAATTTATTATTTGTTTATAAAACTAACAAGCAAATTAAAATGTTTTAGCATTGGTCTGAGACTGCCAATTATGTCTTTGTTTCTATAAAGAACATAGAAGAAGAATAGAATAGAAACAGGAAAAGAAAATATAGCTTCCCTCTATGTTCTTTATAGAAAGAACGAGGTGCTTGTTTTAGCCATAGATCTACTATAGTTCTTGTATTAAAAGCTTCAAGGCACAATTGAAAGGTGTCCAATGGAAGTTTAATATTTACTTTTAATATTTATTCACGCTATAAAATTTCACTCTGGAAAAATAGCAATTTGAAAATAGTGGCTACACCCTTATTTTGGAAATCAAGAGTACCATCTGCCCGAGTAATATGGTGATCCCATCTCTGCCTAAGAAAACAGTGGTTCATCATCATTCCTTTCTTAAGAAACCAATGCTGGACCCAGTCTTTGGACCAGAAATTGGGCAATTTTGGTCCTGTGTTCAAGCTGCCCATTTTAGGGGAAGTCATTCAGCTTCAGAGAAACCAGAATACATCTGGACATATTTCAGTTGGATTGGGAATTTAGTTATAGTATTGAAGCAGAATTTATTGCATTTATGGATGATTTCAACTGAGAACAGTCTTTCTTGAGCTTTCAGTGACTTTTGATACTATCAATCATGATATCTTTCTAAGGGGGTTGGGATTTGGAACACAACATTGTGGTAATTCTCCTTCTTTTGAGATCATTTCAGTCAATGTTGTTGGAATAGAAAGGTTTTATCCTATGTCTGGCTTTGCACAGATCCTTAGGAAATTGGATAAATTTTAAAAAGTTTAACCAACTGATTACCGATCAAGGCTCTAAATTATTTCAGTTATTATAAAAGGAATGTGCATTACTTAAAACTGAAATGGTAAATACCGTATATTCCATGAAAACATCTCTTGTCTTTCTGACATGATCGAGATGTATCTAAAGCTTTTAAGGTACTATCAGCATTATAATTTGCCTTAGATTACTCTAAAACTACATTTTTATAAAAAATATTGTAAATATTAGTTGCTTGCAAGAATTCTTGAATAAAGGATAGCAATAAACATAATTTCTGGTTTACATATAGTGAAGATTGTAAAAAGAGGGGGGGGGGGACAGCAAAACTTAACTTCTTGATAACACTACTGTTCATATAGTTGGAGATTAAGAGGGTACTGTATCAGAATTCATCTGTGTATATCAACCAGTCTTTGTTTTCATTATAGCTTTCCCTCAAGTGCATCATTACCACCACGTCTTCTGCCAAGTATGTATTTTAGAAATATTTTATGAATGTTGAGCTTGCATTTTGAGATAATCTACAGATACTGAAATCTAGTATTTCATTAAATCTTATCAGTTGGAAAACCATAAAATATTTGTATTAATGCAAATTTATAAAGCATCAGTGATCTGTGTGTTACTACAAAGGAATAAGACAAATAAGTTAATGAAATAAAAACAGAAATATACATTCACGCAACAACTTTCACTATTCTTTTTTGTAGTTTCCCATACTTGCAAATCAGGCACAACTTCATTTATTTCCTTTTGTTCTAGATTTGAACTAGTGATATAATTATATATGTAGCTATTCTACATGCCAATAAACATGGGCATTAAATATATGAGCAATTAAGGTGACATGTTAAAATGTGTGTGGGGACATTTTACATATATAAAGATAGGGGAGTACCAGATAGAGGCATAACATATGTATATACATTACAGTGAAAGAGAATATTTGTGGTGGATTTTACAAATGGAAAATTTGGGAAATTTCCCCATCTCTAGTAAGCTAAAAATGTATTTGTGTTTAAAAGTTGGGTGATACAGTTTGTATACTAGATTTAAGCTACAGCAAAACAACCTTAATCTAAATCTTGGTGTCAATATGAAGAACATCTGGTTCACTCAAAATAGATTCCTTAACTATATCTCAGTATGAATTCAGTGGACTATCTTTAATTTCTAAACACATTTAATGTTTCTAAAGGTAATCTGTCCAGAAACTTTTCCAAAACCCCAGCAGATGGCAGACCACCATTACCAATTCCCAATAAACCAAATGCAGAATTTCCTAAAGCTGATAATGAAAGAATGGAACACAGTCATAAGGTATACAAAAGTTAAATACTGGCACATGTAAATGATTTATTCAATAGAATCTCGGACCCAGCTGAAACAAGTGAAATAAAGGGAGCACAATATGGACATAAGATGTTAGCTAAGGTAAGTTGAAGTCAAGGCAAGTTGAAGTCAATAGTAAAAACCAGCAGGAAGGTATCTATTTTTACTATTTAAATAAAATAAAAAGAGGCTTTGTAGGAAAACTTGTAAAGAAACTTGTCATATGATCCCCTCTGCATAAAGTAGAAGCTTTTTCATAATATCTGTGGCCTGCAGAGGAGGGAACTAGATCTGTAAGAGGGCCACATTTAAACCACATGTCAAAACTTGCCCTCTCCTGAAGGCACATGCCAATCCATTTACATATTCACTATCATGATTGGTGGATAGGTTCTTGCCAGCTGTTTACTCCAGAAAAAAATAAACCACATTGAGCTAATCATTTTGCTTAACATGCCCTGCACACATGAAATTAGGACACCATCATTGGTAGAGGAGTGGGGAAGAGACTAAAACATAAGGAAAGGAAATCATCAATGGGGATAACAAATTCCATGCTGGTATAAAATTACAGCAATCAAAAAATAACTAATATTTTTAGTTAATTTTAATAATATTTTAACTTAGTAGTTTGCTAACATATTTGATAAACCTCAAGGAGTCACTGGTATTAGAAAAGGAGAAACGCTAACGCAGCTAAGAATGACTTGATCCTGTCTAATTGTGGACTAGGGACGTGACAAAGAGGTTTTGTGATTGTGATGACAGGCAGACAACAACAAATTTGTATACCTGTCCTTTGTGTCCTGATTACTGTACACCTGAGGATCTCATGGCAGTGAGATGCAATTAATGTTGCTAGTTTCTGGGCAAGATCTGTTTAACCTGTATGTGTTTTAATCTTGCATTTTATAGTTTAAATGTTATGCTGTGCAGCATGCCTTATTTTAATCGAGATGCTTCTGCCATGAATAAAGAAAGAAGGCAAAGAAAAAAATTAAGCAGGGAGAGGAGAGAAGTTGAAGGAAATATCTCTGGATATAGTGAAAAGTTCCTAATACTAAGTTGGTAATTCTATCTTAAGACAGAATTTGGACAATTGCATAGAAGTATTATTAAGTAAATACATTAAGTAAATACAGATGCAAAATATTTTAGAATGGCATCCAAAAGCCATGAAGGATAAACAAAACTTTTTCAAGAAGATGTAATATAATTTGCTTATTTATATTAAACATATATATTTAGCAACATAAGCAAAATCAGGTCTCAGCAGTTGAATACTTTTGGGACTTTAAATGATCGGTATGCTTTCCTAAATACATTTCAAAATTCCACATCCATGTTTATGATAATAAACACATTTTTCCATTTCTTTTTTTCATTTGGCTGACTGATCATCAGGGTCAACAAAATCAGAAGTGGTATGTTGCTGATATCACGCGGTCAGATGCAGAAGTTGCACTTAGAAATATAAACCAGGTAAATATTTCAATGATTATTGTCTGTATGGATCAGTATTTTTCAACCTCAGCAGATTTAAGAGGTGTGGGTTTCCTGCCGGTGGGTATTCTGGGAGCTGAAATCTACACATCTTAAAAGTTGTTGAGGTTGAGACACTCTAGGACATATGTATATAAGAAAATTGGTAAATGCTTAAAAATGCAATCATAACTTATTTCAGTTATTTATGTATTTTTAATCTATAAAGCTGTTGTGATGACATATTTTCTAAAAAATGTTTTAATATGTTACTTTTTTAGGATGGTTCATTTTTAGTAAGAGACAGCTCCAAAAAATCAGTTGAGCAGCCATATGTTCTAATGGTGCTTTACCACAACAAAGTTTACAACATCCAGATACGTTATCAACCAGAGACTCAGGTCTACTTCTTGGGAACTAGCTTGAAAGGAAACGAGGTATGCTGTGGCATCATTCTCTTAGATCCATAATCTTTCCAAATATGGAGGCTTATTAAATGTAAGACTTTCTAAAGTCAGTCAAATTGCTCCTCCCTCAGATGTTCTACAAAATCTGTATATATTAATTGAGCAGAATCAAATCTATAAAAATGAAGTTATCCATTCAAGCATGTCCAAATCTTGGCCATTCTATGGGCCAGGTCTCTCCATATCTTCTGATCTAATATTTCTATAAAAAATATTAGTAACTAAATAAAGATCCATTCAACTGTCCCAAACTAAATAAGTCTATAAAATGAATTTATTACAAAGTAGGCAAAATGAAGTTGTTTGAACTTTTTTTTTTCTCACAAAAATAACTGAAAGGTATTTTGCAATTCACACAGGACTTCACCTCGGTGACTGATATTGTTGATTACTTCAAACGAATGCCCCTTCTGTTGATAGATGGAAAAGACCGATGTTCAAAGAAGCAATGCGTGTTAACGTATGCTGCTGGAACTTTTTAGAAGTGAAAATGCATGAAGATCAAGTTCCAGCTCAACTTTGTATTTTCAAGTTAGAGGAGTAACTGATCTGTGTTGAATGAACTCTAGATTTATATTAGAGGAGTTACCAATTTGTGTTGGATGAACTGAAATAATTTATCTGTTTTTTCATATTATGCTATGAAGGTTGCTATTTTATTATCTCTCCCCCCCCCCCCCACTTTCCCTTGGTATGAAAGCCATTAAGCACATTCATTTTTCACTGAAAAAATTATAGGTGTGATATCCATTGATTAAAATATACTCTGTAGAATGTCTTATTACTGAATATTTTTTTCAAGTCTTCTGAACAATAGTTCTACATACATTTTTCATATAAAGGTTTAGTAACAGATTCATTCAAGAATAGCTTCACAGATATTTCATGATGTTATCAAACCCAGCATCCCTGCGAATGTTTGTTCTTAGTTTGTTTATTTTTGTTTGAGTTTGTTTATTGAGTTTCATATACAATGGCACTGGTTAATTGAGATCAGCAAGAGTCAAAGGATTTTTGTGTGTGTGTGGCCATTTTTACTTAAATATTTGTTAAATGAGTCTCTTGAAATCTTCATTTGTATCTTTCCAACAAACCTATTGTATATTAGGATTTCTCATAATATAAATATGTTTATTTTTTATTGTTCTTGGAACTATGAAATGTAAATTAATTTCTGTACCAATCATTCAAACTGGGGATAGGAAACCCTACACCCAATCATATAGGGTTTCCTGCAAGAGGAGAAGACCTCAAGGTCACTTCAACTCTGTCAGTATGTTGTTATTGTTATCTACATTACCTTTAATTGCCAATCTGACCTACTATGGTAAGAAGTATATTTTTATTAAACTGCCATTGCAATTTGTCTGGATTGTATTTATTGGTTATTAAGATATTATATCCTGGTGCCTGAGTTAAATGGAAGAACTATTCTTATTTTTGTATACTACTAAAGAAGTTGAAATGACACCAAATTTTTAATGTGGACATTTCATAATGTATCTTACAAAATGCAAAGATGATGCATTTGGGTAGAATGTGTTGATTTGTTTAAAAAATATTTTAGTGACTTAAACAAACCAGTTAGTCAACAACCATTAATTATATTCTTCTTAAACAGGGCCAGAATATTAAGATTTTAATTTTTTATGATAGTAGAAGTGTGGTGGAATCTTTGATCTCCCTGTTGCAGTATAAAACTTGTATATTCTTACCTTATCCAAAAAAATAAGAACATTTGAACATCACACAAAAGCATATTGACTGTCAGGAAATTATAAGGAATTATAAAGAACCACAGACTTTCTCTTGTCTAAGATACAATGTTTGGAGGTATTTGTCTCCAGTTTATTCATTTAAATGAAATAAGAATTCACTATTAAATGTGATTAAAACTAATTATGGCATGAACATAGTCTGAAGCTTTCTATATTAAACAAAACATGACTAAAATCAACCTCATAATAAGCTATGTATGATTGGAAGGGGAAAAAAAGGAGTAAAAATTTCTGAGCAGAGGAGTAAAAGAGGGAAGGGGACCTATTTGTGCAAGCCCTCAGTGGTTTGGTCACATTGTCCCAAGCAAGAAGTAATCTGATGTTTCAAATGAATGATGAATGAGCCCCCTTCCACCTGAACAGAAAACATTTTGATGAAATTGATTATATGCTGGTAGTTTGCTTTTTTCTTCCCCCAGGAAAAGAATTATGAAACATTTACCTGTCAACAGTTGCATCAATTTTATTTAATACACAGTCATTTTAATAATGAAATTCCAAATTAAGAATATAAAAATTAAAATATTTTATAATTCTTATTGAAACAATATTGAATATTTATTAGATTATTTATCTAAATAAACAAATACATAGCAAGAAATGTATACATGTTTACATAATCTGAAAATGGGCATGGCTTTTATGTTCTGAAAAAAATATTTTGTGACAATATATGGTAGGTCTTTTACACCAGTGATCCCCAACCTTTTTGATGCCGCGGCCCGGTACCGGCATCAGCTGGGCGCCGCGGCCCGGTACCCGCATCAGCTGGGCGCCGCCATCTTTTTTTGATGAAAACGTGCTTCCAGTGAGCTTTCTACCCGGAAAAGCTCACCGGAAGCACTTTTTCATCAAAAAAAGATGGCGGCGCCCAGCAAGCCAGCGGCCCGGTAGGAGTTGTTCTGCGGACCGGTGGTTGGGGACCCCTGTTTTACACAACACAGAAATATTATCTTAAACAGAGGACTCAAGTATTTAAAAAAACAAAAACAAATATCTCTCTTTCTCTCTGCTCTTATGCAATCCAAACTTACTGCTTTCTTGTAAAATGTTGGTAAAAAGAGTAAGAAAATGCCAAAAACATTCTTATGTGATGCCAGCTTATATATCAATGTTTTAATAGCTCAAGCTTAAAAACCTATACTTCTAACTTCTGATACTCGATTATAAACATATTCACAGAAATATTTTAAAGGACATTATGACAAGAGACCATTAAGAAATCAGTAAAGTTACCTTTCGCTAAACAATTTTAAATATTGATGTTTTAGACAACAAAACTACTGGAGAGATGCTAGCAAAAATAATAATCAGGTTTTATTCTTGAACTCTTCTTGACTCTTTGTCTCATTTTCTCTTGACGCATCTGCTTGAGCAGGATGACTAAAGTTCAGAAGAAGGTCACAAAGCTGGAGTTCAGTTTTTACTGAAAAGCAATATTTGATTTTGTCTTTAAAAATCTGTACATTGTGTTGTTTCTCTGTATTGTCTTCTGTGTATTTATTGCATGTGCATATATGATTGCTTCCACAATGCAATTTGGATAAAAAGGATGAGAAAGAAAAGCAATGGCTTTTAATGTTATATTGTGATTGGGTGTGCATGACAATATTGTATTGTATTCTGCATGCTATTTTTAATAGGAATAGTCAAGCAAGGACACCATCACATTCCAGTTAAACTCTCAATTATTAAACTCTCAACTATTAAAGTTGGGAATCTTTAGAAAATAACTGAAGTGGAAGGGAAAGCTAGAGGGAAAATGTGAAATTGGAAAGAAAGTAGTTCTGAAAATATTTTCTTGAAATGCAGGTGAATATATTGTGAGGAAAGGAAGGGACATTCCTCTGTGGGAGTACTACAGAACATTTTTTTAAAAACCCAACAATTCAAATTCATGCTTGTAGATTCTGGTTATTTAAGACCACCTACTAATTTACACAACTGTGGGTACAGTACATACAGTATTCTTCATTTCACAATTAAACATTTGTGTTAACATCACTAATGCCATGGTTTATTGCCATTATCACAGGATTTATGTAGAAATTCCTGACACTATGCTGCAAAATGGACTGGAAGGCCCCACAAAATTGGCAAATTTGAGTTATGGTTTGAAACAGCTGAAGACCAATTGTAACTAAACAGTCCCCTCCCGTTCCTTAATGTTATTATTGCAAGGAGTGTTTGCATTAAGTAATATTTTCTGCTGCCTTTCTGAAACCACAACCAAGATGCAGTGATTCCAGTAGCATTTTTTTCCCTAGGTATTGGTGACCTAGATGCAAATCCTTGTTCAACCACAGAAGCAATTCAGCAATTCAGTAGCTTTTGGCAAATTGGTATATCTCAGCCTAATCTAGCGCCAGAATGCTAACATAAACTGTTAAAACTATTTCTCTGTGTGTGTACAACTGTTCATTACATAAAAATATTGACTTAGCAATATTGACTTTACAACTTCTACTCTCTTGCATTATAAAAAAGATATTTTTTTAAAAAAAACACGAATATACATTTAGAGCAGGGTTCTCCAAAGTGGTCAGTATCGACCCCAAGACTTGATGGCACTATCCATTATTGTTATTATTATTAGTATTAGTTAAAGTAGCATTTATTACATTACTCTTATATGATAAATTGTTTAATGAGCTGAAGGGTTTTGGGACCCCTAATTCAAAGAAAGAAAAATATTTATATTAATATCATTCTTAATTTCATATCTTTATTCTGACCATGCATTAGAAATTACCAATAAGTTTATTCATTTCAGTTGATACTTTATCCAAAGTTCTGATTGCATTATCAATAACAAGCAAGTGATCCTTTTCATTCATGGACATCTGAAAAGAAAATACAAATAAAAATCAGATTGAAGTGCAACAACTTTCTCAAAATTCTTCAAACTCTTTTGGTAACTGTAACTGTAACGGTAAAACAATTTGGGTAAAATGTGACCTAAGAAATAGTTTGTTCTTTAAACTCCAAATAATGGTAGTTTATTTGTACCTCACACATATACAATAAAATGCTAATAAAATGATAAGATCTTCAGGGTGGCTAAGTTTGATTCCTGCTTATTTTCTAAGCAACATAACTTAAGACATAGTTTGCAAATGTCTTTGCTTCTTACAGTATACATATTTTCACTTCCTAGTCTAGGCCAGATTTTATTCAAACTATATTCTGCGCAACCTTAGGTTTCCATGAAAACTTGACGAAGTTCTGTGAGAGACTAAGAACAAAAAAAACAGAACAAGAAATAAATAAATTATCTCCAATGTAGCCAATTAGTATTGTAGATCTTTTGATCAAGAATTGTAGGATTATCATAATTTTAATAATAACATGTTTGAAAATCCTTGTCCATTACAGCCCTGGCATCAAGTACTAAGCAGGCTCAGTACTATTCATTTCTTTCAAGATTTCTTCCACCTAGCTGTACAACACTTCACTGCAAATAGAAATAACAAAGTATATAGGAATATAAGTGTTTTATATCAGGACAATCTGGTCTACCCAAATATGGAATGGAGCATACTAATTCTGCTTTATTTCTTTGCTAGTAAACATAAATTTAACACAAATATATAGGAATATAGATACAAGAGGTAAAATTCCCATATTGCTATTTCAGAGAAGATAAACATGAAGACAGATTTTTATTTGCAATTGAAAACACAATCATATTAGTATTTTTATCTGAATATGACTTAAATCTTCCTTGCTTGACATAACTGTGTAAACAAACTGAAATAACCTATTTGGGTGAAAATGGGCTGAAAAATTTAATAGTATCTGCAATCACAACTGAGATAGTTGACGAACACAATACAGAAGCCTGATGATGAATACCTGAATACCACACACACACACACACACACACACACACATATATTCGTAGATTTTCATGGGTACAGGTATGTAGGTCTAGGTGTGTTCGGGTCTTTTCCCGTGTAAGATTAAGACTAAGATTAAGCACTGGCACGAAGCCGAAAGCACCAGCCTGAGGATGGCGAGTGGGACCTTGCCGAAACGTCGCCAAGATAGTCTTAATCTTACAAGGGAAAAGACCCGAACACACCTAGACCGATAGATAGATAGATAGATAGATAGATAGATAGATAGATAGATAGAT